TTGCTAATCTTGCGGAACCCAAAGACGGAACAGAGACAAAAGAAAGAAAAATACTAAAATGCCCATATTAATGGACTAAAAGAAACAGCGAGTAGAGATTGATCCAAGGGTTGTGATTCATTCTTATTTCTTTCATTAGATCTTATTCTCATTTGAACCAAATTCTATATATATATATATATATATATATATATATATATATATATATATATATATATATATATGTATAGATTTTGGTTCAAGTGAGAATACAATCTTATGAAAGAAATAAAACTGAATCTGGTGCTTTAGATTGTGAGATCTAAGGGTCAGGATTGCATCAAAATTAGGTGCACCAAAATGGTTTGAAAATGCATCATGTCGAAATGCACCAAAATCCTTTAAAAATGCACTATCTCAAAATCTGAGTGCATGATGCAATTTGAGTCGCACGATGCATCCGATCCAAAGGCTAGATTTTATTCTTATTTCTTTCACCAAGGTGCATTCTCACCTGATCCGGCCCCTATATATATATATATATATATATATATATATATAGAGTTTGGTTCCGGTGAGAATGAAATCTAATGAAAGAAATAAGAATGATTGCTCACCGTTAGATCTACTCGTATATGAACTAAAGATACGCTACTTACATTGGGCATTTTGGAGATTTTACATTACAATAGTCTCTCTCCCCTATTTTGTATTCATCTGATCTGCTGAATTAACGCACAATCTCCACTCTAGGTTTTGTTTCCTTTTGTAACGACGCCTACGCTAGGTATTAGTCGGCGATGGTAGCAACAACGAAGAGATCAATTCCAAGAAGATCGGCATCGGGTTTTGGAAGGTTAGGAGATTGTTGTGTCTGTCCGTTAGTCTCTCACTCCCCGTAAGTTTCTCTTCTCGATTGTTTTTCTAATTAATTTTTTTATGTATTTTTTTTATACACGATTTGTTCTAAATTCTTGATGAATTGAATAAATCTACTTTTTTTTTACTTTTTCTGTACTGATTCACAAGCTCCAGCGAAGGTTCATCCTTCATCACAATTGATATGCATCTTTGAGAATACAAAATGCATTGTAACATGGTTAAATCATGTGTAGACAGATTGCGAACATGCAACATACTATGTGTGTTTATGCAACATACATATATCTTATTGACTATCTCAGGGCCGGGTTCTCTTTGGGGTTTTTACTGCTCTTTTTTAAGTGTGTTTACTAAGTGTATTATCCAACATACAAAGTGCATTCACTTTATCCAAAAGATGCAT